GGGGACCTTGTCGGCCTGGGTCACAGGACAGCCGCGGCCTGATAGAACTGTGGGAGCAAAAGCATGGTGGGATGCGGGGGACGGTGGCTGGCAGGGATGGGGGAGAGTGGAGAGAAGGACGGGGAAGCCAAGGCTGAATCACAGATGGCCCTTGCCAAGGGCGTGGGCCTCCAGCAGGAGTCTGGAGGATGCTGGTTGGAGGTGGTCACGTGGAGAGCTGCTCAGGGCACGCGAGGCTGTGCCAGTTCTCAGAGGAGCGTCAAACACAGACAGATGGAGACCATGGAAAGCAGACCCATAGCCAGGCTGTGGATGGAGCTGTGAAAGCTGCCCCAGAGCGGCGACTGGCATCCATTGGTGAGCCCATGAAGGCCAGGGAAGGCTGTATTCACTCAAAACTGGGCAGAAGAACAGACAGACACAGTTTGTCTCTGCAGGGGATTGCTGCAGAGTTTCTTTAGAAGATACCTGGGATTCTGTCCACAGCAGCCACCTGAGCTGCCATGAGAAGCTTTTAGGAGGACTCCATTTTCTTAGAGATGTAACTTCACAGAGTTGGATGTTAGATTACAGAGGCAAGTCAGTACATGCGCCAGGCTAATTGGGCTTGCGAGAGGAGCCGAGGGCTGGGACCAATGTGGTTTAAAGCCAGAAGATTTTGCTGCACTTTGAGGTCATTCGTAGAGGCTTGAGTATCAACAAATACAAGGGTCCACATGCACAGGCATAGGAGAAGGACCGGATTGAGCATGCTGCCAAAGGGACCACCTTAAAACAAATCTAAGAATCATCAAGAGGAATATTGCCCCACGACCATTAGGACCATCTTCCACGATACCTGGTTTGTTTAATTTTCTGTATCTTGGAATTTAAGTTTTTCATGCTCTGAAGAGCACCTTCCCCATAACCTCCCCAAACACCTCGCCCCCGCCCCCCCATGCCTGCTGCATGCATGACTTCCTGTGGATGGCCTTTTGGACAGCCCTGGATGTCAATGCTATGGCAAGGTGGGGAGATCCTAAAGAGGGACATTGGCCTTATTTCATACTTCTCTTTGCAGTAGTATAGAGCATTATTCTTTATCTCATCTTGGTGAATCTGAATTTATATATCACTGAGTATCTAAAAAACATCTGAAAGTTAATTGGCATGAAAAATATCTTGTCGCTCCTCCAAAACAGCTCCTTTAGGGCAAGAAGGGACCAATCGCTCTCTTTGATTCACAGTTCAGCAGCTAATGTGATGCGACAAAAATGCCCCATGATCAGTTACAGTGTTAACTGTCAGGAGGAAAGAGCTAAAACGATAGCCTCCTAAAGTTTCCTGTGACCTCCATGAAGATTAGCTAAGGATCTGGCCATTTTGAACATGGATAAAAATCGGAAGAAAAGTCTCTTTTTTCTTAGATACTGTCCAGTCCTTCTAAATGGGATACACAAATAAGCTCTCTGGAGCTGGCTGTCTCTGCTGCCCAGCCCAGCTGAAAGTGCCCTGGCACCTTTCACTCTTACCGGCTGACGACTGAGGGATTACTGGTTACTCTCTCTCTCTTTACCTCGGTCCCTTTCAGCCTCAGCCAAGAGTGCAGTGAGCGTTCATTTGTCTCTGAAAGACTAAGTGAGATGGGGTGGCATTTCTTCTAAACATGGCTTGATTTTGTTTTTCTTCTTAAATCCTCCTCTTCTTTCTCCATTCCCCACAGGACATTGTACAGACCTCTTGATGAGGCCTGGAAAATCTTCATTGCTCCAGTGAGCTGGGTTATGACACTTTGAGTCTCGCCATTAAGTCAATATTTAGAAGTGCAATTTAGAAATGGCAGTAGTTCAAGTCTTCCTGTCAGGTAGATAAAGCAGCAGACTGAAAAATTATCAGTGGTGAAGAGTCCAAAATACCCCACTGCAGGTCTTGGGACATTTAATATTGTCAACAGACCCTTTAGCACCCCACCCAATGGTACCATTGAGCTGTGCAGGGAGAATTGTGTCTCAGAAAATGATCCCAGGACCTAAATCAAAGATTTCACCAGGCTGTTCCAAAGAAATGAGCCAGGAACTGTATGACTGGGACCCAGTGGGATTCTGCAAAGGATAAGAGCTGAGTGTGTGTTGTTCACTAACTTTCTTTACTGCATCCCCCTGGTTTGATGTGAAAGGAATTTTACTGAGAGAGAAAAAGAAGAGGCTTCAATATTACTTCATATTGGAGAGCAATCCAAGCAGAGAAGACACCTTGAGGAAGGAGGAGAAACCAGGAAACATGGACAGATAATACAATGTTACGCGGAAGTGGAGTTTGAGCTTGGATAATCAGTGCTACTTCACGTGGTGGCAGCAGTTAAGTTTATTCTCATGGCTGTCATGAAATGCAAAAAAAAAAAAAAAAAAGGAACAAAACATAGCAACCTTTTAGGAGTCGCTGGTTAAAACTCTTTGCAGTTGTAAATTCTACATCTTTCATCTTGAGACTTGGGTGCAACCACTCATATGCCCCTGGGATGGTATTGGGTGTGTGTCTGGCTATTCTCCTGGCCTCTTCCTGTCCTGTGCAGGTGTTCCAACCAATCAGGCACCTTCTATGTAGAGAAAACATCTTGAGACTTGGGTGCAACCACTCATATGCCCCTGGGATGGTATTGGGTGTGTGTCTGGGCTATTCTCCTGGCCTCTTCCTGTCCTGTGCAGGTGTTCCAACCAATCAGGCACCTTCTATGTAGAGAAAGACATATTTCCACCTGTCTTCCACTCGCGCACTTTCCAGAGGTGTGCTGGGTGGGCATCTTACTCAGCTCTTATTGAGTTTTGGTTGATGCACTCAAGGTGATTTCATCTGGGTAAGAAGCACATACTGGATGGCCTGTAACCTCTTCCTCTTTCCTGCTGTGGTGCCTGACTGAAGGCTAACCTTAGATGCATATACTCAGGCACAGGGAAAATTAGAAGCCCAGCATCAGTCATACAAAGGTGTGAGTTAACATTATAGCTAAGTCATTGCCTCTGTGCACATGACACCAAACATCTGAATAAAGACTAGAATCCCTTTCAGGCAGATATCTGACATTGCAAATACAGGGGATTTGGATATTTACTAACTTTTCCAATAGTATCACTAGTTTGGCATTAAACTTAGACTTGTGTAATTTTAGAATTGGAGGGGGCCTTAGTCAGTACATAGTTTGCTAATTCCTACACTTGTGAATCAAGAATCTCTTTAGGAAACTGGTCAAAACTATGGATTTCCTTTCTAGAAACATACACTCCACATACTACAGTCCCAACCGAGTGCTCATTTACACAAGAGACTACACTGATACAGATGGCCAAGTAGTCTTTGATGTGGTGTCACATATGTCCTTACTGTATCTAATTGATCTGACTTTTTTAATATGATGAAAACACATACTAAAAACTCATCAAAGTATAAATGAAACCTAAGATCTTGTAATTCTTGTAATTAATGTTGTCTGACAAGGGTGAGCTTGGGTCAAAATTCTGCAAGCCTCTTTGTGTTGAATTCACATTGTGTCATTTCCTTTCTCAGCAACTCTGGCAAGGTCTGTATCACTGATATTGTCTGTGCCAGCAAGAAAAAGATTATAAATTCTCATTTCAAGCATGAGATTGTCTCAAAACATGTGACTTCTAGGCGCTGGCCACTTCTGCTGCAGAGAAATTGAGGTGTTGCCCCTCTGGACTGCAGCCTGCAGAAGTGATTCCTCCAGCCTTCAAAAGTTTCCATAGCCGTCCAGCCACATCCCATCTCTTTTTGTAGGATGGTATCTTGGCCAGAAGAACTCATAGTTTTCCAGCAGCATCCATTATGATGATTAGAGAGTCTTAAGGAGAAATCCAGGCATGAACTTCCATCCTTCACAAATCATGGCAGATCCATTTCTTCACGAAACGTCTTTAAAGGGTGCGACTCAAGGTCCTGGAATGGGCTCTCAGGAGACAGCTATGAGCAAAAACACAGGATCTCCTCACCCTGCACCACCTGCTCCAAGAACTTACCATCCAGTGAAGGAAGCAGACAATAATCTAATACTCACCCAAATAAATGTGAAAGCACAA